ATCACTGATAGCACTCACTCCAGACTCATCCAGTGCCTGCCGTCACACGTTCCTTCCTTAGGATTTCATGACGACCTTGCCAAGTATCAGCACTTGGGCACAACATCTGGAGAACATGACCAGCCTGGAGACAGGCCTCCACCAGACACCCCAGGTGCTTCATCACCAAGTGAAGGCCGCATATCTACAATCTATGAAGAAAGCGAGGAACATGACATCGAGGCTATGATGATGGAAGAGTGGTACGATGAACTACGTATGGACCTTCATCCCACAACGGTTACCAACGATCATCTCTACTGCGTCCCAACAACTATGCTGCCCGACCAATGTGTTCTGGTCTTCTCAGCATCCGTGGACGAGGAAGATATCATAGTGTCGGAAGCGCTCGGAGACGAGCCTGAACCACAAGAGCCCTGTCTTATCTCTCTATGCTCGACTACACCTGACGAGGGCTCTTCTCTTGACAGTGATGAACATGGTCCTTATGTTGAGTTATGTTTCGCACCAGAAATGTCAATTGTAGTGTTGGATCAGACCCAACTTGCACAGCTTGAAACTGACATGGTCGCAACGGTGAGAGTATATGTACCATCAGCTGCTAAACGCGCGGTGGTAGTCAAGGAAGACGACCTACTCACCAAAGCCGATATAGCAGCACACCCTAAAGAGGTTAGTGAAGCTTTGTACACCGAACTCAAGACCTGGCTTGATAACCGGTGCTTCGAGATGTATGACCTATCTAAAGCTTCCAACATCATGACACCCAGATATGTATACAAGTGGAAGTTTGTGAAGGTAGGCACCGAGAATGTTAAAACCATCCGTCTCAGACTTGTCCGCCGCGGATTCATGGACACGGAGGCGTTTGATGTAGAAACCTTCTCAGGAACTGCTCGAAGACAGTCCCAGAGGCTCCTGGCAAGTGAGGCGGCATGTCATCCAGAATGGATCTCAGCATCTATGGATATCGACAAAGCGTTCCTCAAAGGTCTGACCTATGAGGAACTTGCTCACGCCACCGGCGAGGAAACTCGCATGGTGTGCTTCGCTCTTCCACCAGGAAGCGCCCAGGTGCTTCGTGCACTACCAGGCTTCTCTTCTTACGATGAAAGCCGACGCTGCCTCAGGTGCCTCAGGGCAGGGGCGGGTGCAAAGGACGCCCCAAGAGCGTTCTCCCTCAAGCTTCGTGCGACCTCACGAGCTATAGGCCTCACACCGACAAGTTACGATCCTGAGTTTGAATTCAGTCAAGATCTGTTAAGGGCAGAACATGTCGACGATATCAACATGACAGGCCTAGAGAAAAACGTAGATGACTATGTACAACGTGTCGAAAAGGTGTTTGGTAAATGCAAGCTCAACAAACATTATTATGCGAACTGCGCCGTTCGCTACACCAAGAATGAAGAAGGGGATGTGATCATGGATCAGGACGAGTACATTAAACAACTACGTCCTAACGCGCACCCTGAACTTACGGGAGCGGCGGCTGACGCCAAAGCTACCAATCTCATCGCCGACGTGTTCGTTAGCCTGCGAGGAGCTCTCGCCTATGCCCTTCTCACTCAAGTCTGGCTTATGGTGTATGTGGTCTCTCTCCAGAAGATCCAAGAGCCCACCAACTTACAAATCAGACGATTGAATGCCGTGACGCGAAAGCTGATCAGCAGCCCGAAACGCATCACCTTCCCTCGGATGAAACCGACGAGCGAAGTAGACATACACAGTGATTCGGGGTATCGGAAGCTCACCGGGGATGAAGACGATGAGACCAAGGGTTACGGCATCCGTGGGGCTAACGTATTACGGCGAGGAAACTCGCCTCAAGGCAAATCCGTCATCCACCTTTGCGACGGACTATGCAAATCACACCGATTGCGGGTGAGGTCCATCTATGCCGCTGAGGCACTTGCAGCTGCACACAACCTTGATGAATGCTACCCCACGCGCGTCGCTCTCCACGAGCTCAAGGCAGGGGTACTTACTCCACAACAACTACGTGATATGCGTGAAGTTGGAGGCCTAGCCATTAAAGTATCCCTTACTATAGACGCTGAGTCTGTATACAAATCGCTATCCAGCAAAGATCTTGAGATGCCGACGGAACGGACTTTGCTGGGACATTTCAGCTGGATACGTGAGCTCATGGATATAGGTATAGTGCACAACGTACAATGGTGTGATACTAGAGACATGGCCGCAGATGGGCATACAAAGGGGAGTATCGATCGGGAGCTGCTTTTGGAGGTGATATCAGGCACTCAGTCATTTAAGTATGACGTGAAGCAGTTTGTTCCCTTTCGGGGTCCTGAGGACAGAAACAAGCCTAAGTCAAATCAGTTTTAGTCTGTCCTTGTTGCCCCCGCGGTCCAGTCTGCCAGCACGGGCGCCTAATACAGAGGCGCCCTCCTAGTTGCTCGGAAACGAGCCTTATTTTTCACGCTTGGCAGCGAGCCTGTTCAGATTGATTCAGGCTCTTGCTTTAATGCCCTTTTTCTCTGGGAGGTATAGCCTGGTAGGCTTACCTCTCGCCGGGCCGATAGCCCTTTGATGTCCAAGGGGCTACTTTGCGTATGCGTGAAAATGCTTTGCGAGGACACTCGCCTTACAGTCTGGTGTTAGGCCAGACTGTACGTACTGTTTCTCTTCAAACAGTCGTGCGCGCCGGCCTTTGTGGAGCCTCACGGCTGCGCGGCTATACTCACCGTCTCCTCCCCTCCCGACTTTGAGGGTAGCTCTTTGGGAGATGTTATATAGGATCGGGAGTATAGCTCGCGCGCCGTTGCCTTTGGCTCAAGGCGCGCGCGCCCTATTTGCCCGGACACTGCTGGTGTTCGCTATGTGCTGGGAAGATCATTACATCGATCTTATCCTATCTTATCCGTCCACTCCCCCTACTGAACTACCCCAGCATGGCATTGGACGCTATCTGCCATCCGCTTCCCATGGAAGCGGATGATATTTGACTTACCATAGTCACTTCAGACTCTTTTATTGCTAACCAAGAGAGGTGTATCCTTCTACCACTTCTTTGGCGCGGGGCGGCAGGTCACGTTCCGGCGCATCTCGTTCGCACTCCCACGGCTTGCCCCACTTCGCGCCCACCCGAACGTGCCGCTCCGAAGGAGGGATTTTGTGGTACTGCCCTCGATGCATTCAACGCGTCCTCTGTCCACACCCGCCGGGGTGGAGCAACGCTCGTGGACGTGTCGCGGGGGCTTCCCGGCTGCTTGTGCTGATGCCGAGCTACACTGCCAATTTGCCGCGCCTCCCCGCGGCTCTGCTGCGCCCCTGCTCTGCGCGCGCACCGAGTGAGGCGGCGGAGAGCGTGAGAGGTCCATCCAACAACATGCTGTCCTTAGTCCTAAGCTGCCCTTATACGCCCGCGTTGAAACGCAACCCGTGCCGTGTTCAAAACGTCCGTGTTACCACTCTGCGTGTTGGCTCCACGTGTTTGACGAGCGAACAACTCAAACCCATACCCATAGGAGGGTCGAAAGGAGGGGAACTGGCTATGGGCATGGGTGCGAGTTGTCGGACCCGGGGGGAAGCTGCCGTTCGAGCGGGGACCCCCATCCGACAACACGCACCCATAGCCTCCTCCGTCCCCCCTATGGGTATGGGTGCGTGTTGTTCGACCGTCAGTGTTGGCCTCGCGAGTTGGCCGGCGCACCGCGCCAAGCGCACCCTCTCCAGCCCGCGCGGCGAGCTCCGCGCCGCCACGCCGCGGACTGCGCGCGGCGCATCCGGGGCGGCTCGGCTGCTGCCCCGCCGTGCCGTGATCCCCCGCTCTTCCCTTGGCTGCTCGGCCGTCGGGGTGTGGGCCTCCCTCCTCCCTCCTCCTCCTCCCTCCTTCCCTCCTCCCTCCTCCCCGTCCGCCCTCCTCTCCTCCTCCCTCCTCCCTCCCCCTCCTCTCCCTCTCCTCCTCCTCCCTCCCTCCTCCCTCCTCCCTCCTCCCTCCTCCCTCCTCCCTCCTCCCTCCTCCCTCCTCCCTCCTCCCTCCTCCCTCTCCGAGGGGCGTGCACCGTGAGAGGGGGGGGACGGGCGTGCCCGCGCGGGCCCTCTGGCCAGGCCGGGCGGCTCGGGAGCAGCCGGGCGGCGCACGCCCGCACGGGGCCCGCGTGGATCCGATCGACGCGATTCGATGGCGGCTTCGGGCACGCACGGCGCGGTCCGAGCCCATTCCGATGCTCCGTCGCTCCGACGCGGCGCGATGCTCGCAGGGCGCTTCGGTTCCGACTCCGTGCCGAGGCGGCCCGTGCCGATGCAGGCTCTGATGCCGGTCAGGTTTTTCGACTCGATGCGGACCGCTCCCGCCAGATCATCCGCTGCCGAGCATTTCTGGCAATGCTCGGAAGGAGCCAGTCGCGACCGAAATTCGGCCACTGGTCGCGAATTCCGGTAACGAGCGAGCTGTCGACGTCCTCGAAACCTTCGCTTGGAACCCGACGCGCACTCAAATTGGACCCTCTCCGGTCGCGACCGAAATTTGGCGCGACTGAAATCCGTCACCGCAAGTTTCTGGTCGCGGGTGATTTGGGCAAAATTCCCAGACCCCCGACGTCATGATTTGAGGTTTCGACCCATTCCACGGGACCGATTTTTCATCCTGAGTGGTTTTCTCCCTGTCCCGCCCCAGAGCCCGAACATCGCGAACACCTTTCCGTCATGATTTTCTCATGACTCGAGAGGGCTGGGGCTTTACGATGCTTTACGGTGTCCTGGATTTCTGTCTGGGACCTGGCCAGGCCCTGCTCGGTTCTGCATAGGTGTAAGTCGGGCATGTCCCCCTACAGGAGGAGCCTTCCAAGAATCGGGAACAAAACTGGTCTGGGGACGAATGTTGCAACTATGGGTCTATTATAATCAGGGGGTATTTCTGACTATTTCTGGTTTATCTTCCAAAATCCGCCCGTGGGAGGACCTGCCCGACCTGAGCGTATAGGTGCCCCCCCCGGTCCGCAGAGGGGCAGAGAGCCTCCGCGGAAAAACGGCAGGAGCTCCGCGCCGAGCACGGCTTCGCGGAGGAGGACCTGGAGTTCTTCGTGACCGCCCACGGCGAGATCACCGAGGGGCGCCTCCTGGAGTTCGCGAAGTTCCTGGAGACGAAGGACCTCGGAGGAGGAAAGGGTACCCATATACCGCTACGCTTCGCCCGTTGTCCCCTCTGTGGCCCTTCTGGGAGGTCCTCGTCGCCACCGTTGGATTCGCCTCGAGATCCTGGTCAGAACGCACCCCGGGAGAGGCCCGGGGAGTAGCAGTATCGTTACCTTTTGGTTTCCCGAGAAGGGCCCACGATGTCCTTCGGCAGCAAATCAATGGGGGCCTGGTGTGCCCTCTAATTTCTGTCTTTGGCGTCGATTGGCGTCGATGTGCGTCTCGGAGTCGATGAGTTAGCGCCGACCGATTTAGCGTCAGCCAGCGTCGAATAGCGTCGATGTAGCGTCGATTAGCGTCGATTCAGCGTCGATTAATGTCGATTCGCAAGAGCCGACACGATGCATGGGAGGCTCCCATGAGTTGCCATCGAACCGTCCAAGCACGGCTGGCAGCGCCTCCTCGGCGATGCATCGGCCATGCAGCGCGCTCCAGAGCCGAGTTTCTCTGGTGCATCGCTGGTGCAGCGGCGATGCGGTGCTACCAGGTTGCAAGGCAGACGTAGGATGAAGTTGAATCGCGCCAGAACTTTTGGGAAACCTCTCCGAGCGTTCTGGAGCGCTCTGAAAATGGCCGCAGCGCCCGACACGCCTTCCAGACCAGCTCGCATACATTCCTGATCTATCTTGATTTGGACGTTCGTGTTGTGCTGTGTATCCTCCAGCCCGATCTGCAGCTGGCCCGATTGGGAGACCTCCAAAGGAGGCGAAGCCGAAGAGGCAGTCCACCGGCGCGCCGGTCAAGCGCAAGGGCGCCCTCGCGTCTGGGGCCCTACGAACGCAGGCGCTGAGCGTCCTCCCTTCCTTTCTCATCTGCTTCCCGAGTCTAGCCTCATTCAGCACCATGGTTCCTTATTCTTCTACTAGTGCTTCCCTCGACCCTATCCTCTACGCTATGTCCTCCACCCCCTACGCTCTAGGCACCATATACCCACTACCCTCTACGCTCTACCTTGTCTCCTTTATCGTATGCCCTCTATCCTCTACATTCTGCCCTGTACCCTGTAACTCGACCTCTGCCTGTGCCCGTGAGTCTGCATCTGCCTGAGCCTCTGCCTATGCCTCTACCTTCTATCTCCTGCCTTCGGCCTCCTACGTCCTAGCTTCTGCCTCCCATCCTGCCTCCTGCCTCTTCCGTTTACTCCTAGAATCCACCAGTTGGAGTAGGGGCGTTTCCTTGACCCGAGCCTCGAGCCAAATACCTCCCCCGTACCTCCTGCCTCCCCCTCCGCCCTCCCCTTCTGGAACCTCCTGTGCCTCCTCCAGTCCTGCCTCCTGCCTCCTCGCGTCTCCTCCTGGCTCCTTCTCCTACCCCTCCTCGACGCGGGCCGCCCCCGCCCGCGGTGAGGCGCTGAGCATCCTCGCCCCAGGCCTCCGCAGCGCTGGCGCGCCCCCGCCCGCGGGGGCGGCTGCCGAGGGCCGCGAGGCGGGCGCCTCCCGCGAGGTGGTGACGCCCGCCTCGAAGCGGCTGCGGACGGACTGGGACCAGGACTCCTCGGGGGAGGAGGAGGAGGAGGAGGAGGAGGAGGAGGAGGAGGAGGAGGAGGAGGAGGAGGAGGAGGAGGAGGAAGAGGAGGAGCAGGAGGAGGAGGAGGAGGAGGAGGAGGAGGAGGAGGAGGCAGGAGGAGGAGGAGAGCAGGAGGAGAAGGAGAGGAGGACGAGGAGGAGGAGGAAGAGGAGGAGAGGAGGAGGAGGTGGAGAGGAGGAAAGGAGGAGGAGGGAAGAGTGAGGAGGAGAAGGAGGAGGGGAGAGGGTGGATGGGAGGAGGAGAGGGGGGGAGGGGAGGGAGAGGGGGCCCCGGCACGGGGGGGGGGGGGGGGGGGGGGGCGGGGGGCGCGGGAGGCGCGGGGGGAGACCGGCAGGACCTCGCTCGGCCGGAGGCGCGGGGCTCGACTCGCCGCCGCCCGTCCGGAGGCCGCAGTACAGGCCAGGGCAGGGGAAGCGTCGGGGAAACGCCAAACGGTCGATCTCCGTCGGCCTCCCCAGGGCGGTCGTCCCGGGTGTGCCTCCCCAGGCCCCCTCGAGGAATAGCAAGAAAATCACGCCGGGAGGTTCTTCGTCATCTTCGGCCTCTGGGAGCCCGTGCCGGGCCTCGGGGCCGTCAGAAAACGACTCAGGAGGGAAAGCCGTCACCACCCACCAAACCACCCCAACCCAACCCGAAGGCTCAGATTTACCCTCGATTTCCAGTGGGGGGGGGGGGTCGGGAAACATCGGAAAAACACATGTGGAACCCCTACCCCCCCCCAACCCGAAATTCGGGTCTTCGGGTTGGGTTGGGGTGGTCTGGTAGGTAGTCAAGCCGGTCCCGGGGACGGGGTCGAAGCCCCTGGGGGTCGACGTCAGGCACAAAGCATGGCGTCGGGGGTCTGGGTCCGCCGCTGCCTGGCTGGCCGCCCGGGAGCCCGTCTCCTGGCACACGCGTGCAGGGCCTCCGCGGCCCGAGCGTGCTCCGCAGCGCCCCCCCCCCCCTCCCTGTTGATGGGCCTGTTTTCCACCACCACCACCATAAGTTGGAGGGGGAGGGGGTCCTCCTCCTCCTCCTCCGCCTCCTCCTCCTCCTCCTCTTCGTCCTCCTCCTCCTCCTCGTCCTCCACCTCCTCCCCCCTCCAACTTATGGTGGTGGTGGTGGTGGAAAACAGGCCCATCACCTGTCGGGCCTCGCCTGCCCCGCCGTGTTTCAGTTCGCCAATGGGTGCGCTGCGCCGTCGCCGTGACCGCGTCTTGGCCCCGAGTCGCCGATGTCAGGCCAAGCGTTGCTTCCACGGGCGTTTTTTGTTGTTGTTGCGATGTGGGCCTCCAGGGGTCGCTTCTCGGGTCCCGGGACCGCTGCAAGCGGACCTGGGGCCGAAAACCGCCTCACGGGGAAGCGGTCGGGAGCTCTGGGGCGGTGGACTGAACGAACATCTGATCGGCGGATGTCCTGTGGGACTTCCGGGGGACGATGCAGTGGAAACCCATGCCAAGAAACACCCTGCTTGCCTCCAGGGTGCCCTGGCTTTCTTGGATTTCGATTCGATGGTTCTGCCGCGGAAAGCGCGACGTTACCACACCGAAAAGCCGTGGCCGTCCTGGGGTTCCAGGGTTAGGTTTCTGGTGTAAGGTTTCTTGAAGTCGAGCTCCTACTGTAGGTCGGCGGCGAGCGAAGAGGGGAAGTGAGAAGGCGAAGGCCTTCTCAGAAGGCGGCGGGGCTCCTCACGAGCCCTCCAGCCTTCCGAGAAGTTCCCACTGTAGAACCCGACTGCCCTTTTTCGTTTTACTTAAAACCACCGTGCATATACAAACAGGGTGAGAAGGGGTTCTGTCCACCCCCGAGGCTCGGGAGGTGTCCAGGATGGGGGGGGGGTGGAGGACTGGCCATGAAACCTCCGATCTCATGGCCCCATCGTGCAGTAGGAGCTCGACCGCGAGAGACCATCCACAAGAGGCCCAACCCTGAGACCCCAGGACGGCCATTGCCTTTTTGGTGTGTGAACGTCACGCTTTCCATCGCAAGCCCATAGAAACTCAAGAAACCCAGGGCACCCTGGAGGCGAGCAGGATGGTTCTTGGCATGGGTTTCCATTGTATGTTTCGTCTTCAAGACATTCCCTGGGTCCCCCTCGTCCGCGCATGTGTCCCGTGTTCGGCGGCACTCAGCACATGCGAGTTTGCCGGCACCTTCGCTTCCGATAAGCAAGAAAATCTGTAAACATGTGCACTCGGAGGTACGCGGATTTTTGGGATCATCGCTGGACCCTCCTGGCGGCGCGTCTGGCGCCGCCCATGGCGCGCTCCGTACGCTAGGGAGGGGTGTGTAGCGCCGATCCAAGAAATTAGCGCAGTCATCCGAACGGATATGTGTAGTTATGTATTATTGTTCCTTTCAGTTTGCCGCTGCGTTCTGACGGCCCCAGCGTGAATTTTGACGGTCCAGAGTTTGTGACTTTTGCAGCGGGAGCTCGCGTCACATTTTAGGCTCGCTCCCGCCGTTGTTCTGACGGCCCCGTCGGGCGAATCCGGGCACCCCGTCTCCCCGAAAAGGGGTCCCGAGCCATCGCAGATTCCCCGAGATCTCGGCGTCGCCCTCTGCTTCCCGCCTGGCCTCGGACTCAGGGGAGAGCCTCGCAGATCGCTCGGGCCGAAGAGATGCCGCAGAAAGACGTGGTTTCACGCGCCGGCTGTGGTTTCTCACGCTGCTGTATTCAAATCGCGACGTCGGATCCCAGGGCTTGAACCGAAAACTAAAGACTATATAAGCATACACCACCTCCGGAGTTCCGCACACCTATCTTGAGCCGCTCCTGGCGCGCTTTGCGCGCGCGGGCGCGCTGGGAAAGGCTCCTGGGAAAGGGGGTCCAGCGCCGACCAAAGACATCCGCGCGGACCCCCGAAAAAGTGCATGCTTCTGTACAGTCAACCCGCATAGTAAGGATGGGCAACCTTCCCAAGGCTACCCTTGCATCCTTGCCTCCTCGGTAAGTCCTTGGCCACCTTCATTGGCCGCGCCCCGCTCGAAAAGCCTCGAAATGGCCTTCCAAGGCCCTGGCATCCGAATCGCGCATCCTTATGATACGGGCCGATTGTAGTTCCCTGAGCAGCTTGTTTGCAAGGGTTCGTTTCAGTTTCTTGCCAATGCCCGGCGAGGGAGAGCCTGGGCTCCGAAACCGAAGGCCCCCACCGTGGCCACCCCCATCGTGGCCCCCTCCCCCTTCCCCTCCCCCTCCACAATTACTCAATATGAAAATACTCTCCCTCTTCCCCTGATGGCGTCCGGGTGATGGCCGCGCACCCTCCGCGTACTGTTTTTTTACACAGGATTCCTGGGAAATCCCGGGAAACGACTCTCGCTGAGGCGCCGGCGTCATTTTTTCCCAAAATGCTGCTCTCGTTGAGGCGCCGGCCTCATTTCTGCTCCCGAATCGTTCCGAATCGTGCTCCCGCTGCAGCGTGGGCCTCATTTTCGGATCGGTGTTTGGCCTCCGTCGTTCAGGATGGCGTTCTCGCCCCAGCGCGGGCCTTTTTCTCGCGCGCCCATCCGCCCGCCACCACCGCGCCGCACCGCCACCACCACCACCACCACCACACCACCACCACCACCACCACCACCACCACCACCACCACCACCACCACCACCACCACCACCACCACACCACCACCACCAACACCACCCACCAACACCACCACCACCATCACCACCACCACCACCACACACGCACCAGCACCACCACCATCACCACACCACCACCACCACCACCACCACCACCACCACCCACCCACCACCACCACCACCACCACCACCACCACCACCACCACACGACAACCACGCACACACGCACGCACGCACGCACGCACCACCACCCACTACGCACGCGCGCGCGGAGCCACAGGTCCGCTACGACACGCGTCCGCGGATAGAGAAAATCAGCGCCATGGTAAGGGATGGGAGGGAGGGGTAGGACGTCAGATATGACGCGAGCGCACCTAGCTTGGCCTCCTCCCCTCCTCCTGCTCCTCCTCCTCTCCTCCTCCTCCCTCCTGCCTCCTCCTCCTCCTGCTCCTCCTCTCCTCCTCCTCCTCCTCCTCTGGATACGTAGTCTTCTCCTCCTCCTCCTCCCTCCTTCCTTCCTCCTCCTCATCACCATCCTCCTCCTCCTCCTCCTCCTCCTCCTCCTCCTCCTCCTCCTCCCCCTCTCCTCTCCTCCTCCTCCTCCTCCTCCTCCTCCTCCTCTCCTCCTCCTCCTCCTCCTCATCCTCCTCCTCCTCCTCCTCCTCCGCCTCCCATCGTGGTGGCCCCCCTCCGTGGGGCGGAGGGGAGCCGCAGTGGAGCCTTCGGCCGCGGGGCTGCCGTTGCACTCGTTGCCTTCCCCCCGCGGCCGGGCAGGGCCTGCCCCCCCAATAAGGGGGGCACGGGGCGGGCGTCTCCGACGGGGAGGGGGCCCAGCGGCCGCCAGGGTGCGGACGACGAGGCGGAGGAGGATGAGGAGGAGGAGGAGGAGGAGGAGGAGGAGGAGGAGGAGGAGGGATAGGATGAGAGAGGAGGGAGGAGGAGGAGGAGGAGGAGGAAGGAGGAGGAGGAGGAGGAGGAGGAGGAGGAGGAGGAGGAGGAGGAGGAGGAGGAGGAGGAGGAGGAGGAGGGGACCGCCGGTCATGATTTGCACCCCCCCCTCTTGGACACCCCCCTCTTGGCCGCTCCCGAGAGGGGGGGCCCCGGCTTGGAGCTGGCTGCGGGGGACAGGCGATGCCCACGTCCGAGTCTGAGTGATCAGAGCGAGTGATCAGAATCCGGAAGACAGCTCCAAGCTGATGTTCTGGAGTCCGAGGCCGATGCTTTCACAGGGTTCGACCTCGTGTTTCGCTTGGCTCTTGGAGTCGAGCCTCCATCTTCCCCTCCACCCGAACCCGAGCCCTAGCCTTCTCTGTTTTCCAAGGAGGAGCGTCTGCGCCCCCCTTCAGCCAGTTGCGAGCCCAGACAGTTGGCGTCTCGATCTGTTCGAGACACGGGCCCCCGACCTCTCGACCCTCTGCCCCCGGGACCGGCTTTCCATTCCGGGCCGCTTTTTGACGGCCCCGAGGCCCAGCAAGGGCCCCGAGGGGCCCAAAACGACGAAAAACCTCCGTCCCGACTTCTTGTTCGAGACGCTGGCTGTCTGGGGAGGAGCGCCCCTCCTCGTGGCCCTGTGTGTGTCATCGTGCCACCACTGCAGGCCACGGGCTGCGGACGCATGTAGTAGCGGTTTGCTGGGCGCGGTCGGCGCCTCGCACAGCAGAGCACTGTGCCACATGCCGGCCGCCCTCTGATCTGCAGTGGTGGTCGTGGAGAGGAGGCTCAAGTCGGGCGTGTCCCTCTACAGGAGGCATCTTCACGAGTAGTGAAACAGTGGTCTGGTGACGACTCTTCGTGCTCTTTCGACTATTTCTGATTATTGCTCCACTGTGTTTTTATCCCAGAGATCACCTGTGGGGGGACATGCCCGACCTGAAAGTAGGCCCACTACCTCGGCGGCGAGCCCGGGGGGTACGTGAGAAGGAGAATGCCTTCTCAGAAGGCGGCGGGACTCCTCAGAAGCCCTGGCGTTCTCTGAGAAATGGTCTGGGTCTTCGGGGAAGGCTTAGAAACCACTCAGAAGTCGGGGGGACTTCGGAGCCTTCTGAGGAGGCCTTCTCCTGCTCACTTCCCCCCCTATCTCGCCGCCGATCCTCGGGTCCTCGCTCGCTTGTTCCTCCCGAGCCCCTCGTGCGCCCGGGCGCCCTTGGTGCCCAGAAGGGGCTCTCCGCTCCCCCTCGCTCGCCGCCGGACCTCCCTCGCAGGTTCACGCCCAAGTCCTCGGTCTCGGACGGGAGCTCCGGCGACGAGAAGCACGAGGACGCCAAGGGGGCGCCGCTGCCGCCCGCCGAGGTGCGGCTCCTGGGGGACCCCGCCCTGTGGAGCGGCAAGCGGCAGGGCGCCTACAGCTGGATGGACGAGTCGCTCGAAGACAGGACGCCGGCACGAGCCACCCAAGCGCGCTCCACTGCTCGCAAAGTGCCTACAGGCGGGGCGCCCAAAGAAGGAACCCCTTGCGATGGGGAGGGGCTCGGTGTTCCTTGATTGTTGTGCAGTTTGCCCAGGGTTTTCCTTTCGTCTTCCATGGGAGATCAAAACTTCACTTATGGGAGCAAGGGGCCTCGTTCCTTATTTAGGGTTCCTTAGGTCAACCTACTCGCAAACGTCCGAAACAAATTGATGTCCTCCTCTACGAAATGTCTCGCACATCCCCCGCGGCGGATCCAGGCCACTTGCGAGCAGTAGCTCTGCGCGAGCAGTGGGACGCGCTTGTCCCTACACCCTCTTGCCACGATCAAGGGCAACGATAGGAGGGGCGTCGGGTAGGCTCGGGGGAGGACGCACCGGCCCCCACACCCATCGCCGAGAGGGGGCACGATGGCCTGCCCCGCCCAGGAGCGTACGGCTTCGCCATCGAGATCCTATCGCCGATCCTTCGGCGATGCATCGGCGATTCCAGGTCGATGTCCCCCCCCTAGCCAGCCTCACCCCCGAATCTGTAGGCTTCCTAGATGGGGTCGAGTAGATGGGGTCGGAGGATCGTGCCGCATCGCCGATGCGTCGCCGATGCGGCTGGATGTGCAGCCCGATTTTTGCGTCACGCCGACGTCGCCGATGAATCGCCGGTGCATCGCCGGTGCATCGCCGATGCATCGCCGATGTATCGGCGATTCCGCGCGATCCTCCGACCACATCTGCTCGGACCCGATTCAGGAGGCCTCTGTAATCGTTCCCCCTCGCGCACGAGGACGGCGGCGCGGGACCGGCGGCTTTCCACACTGGAGGGCCACATCGTGGCCGCGCTGCAAGCACGACCGGGCGGCGAGGGTATCGCGGTTGGCCAGGTCTCCGAGGGGCTCGATGTGGCGTGCACTTGAAGCTCCTCCCAGGGCGAAGATCGACGCCGACGACGACGCTGAAGACGCTGACGACGACGACGGCGCTGACGACGACGACGACGACGACGACGACGACGACGACGACGACGACGACGACGACGACGACGACGGCGACGGCGACGCTGACGACGACGACGACGACGACGACGCGGCACGGCCCCGAGAGCGCCCGCCCACCGCCGCGACCTGAGCGCGGGCTCGAAAGGTTGCGGTCCGCGTTTTGGGGGAACGCGCCAGCTTCGCTATCGCCCCTACGATCTAGACTTCCCACATGGGGTCGGAGTAGAAGGGGTCGGAGGATCGCGCTGCATCGCCGATGCATCGGCGATGCGGCTCGATGTGGAGCCCGATTTTCTCCGCGCCGACGTCGCCGATGCATCGTCGTTGCATCGGCCATGCTTTGGCGATGCGGCGCGATCCTCCGACCCTATCTACTCGGACCCCATTTAGGAGGCCTCTAGGGAACGCGACAGCTTCGCTGTCGCCCCCACGAACAACGCCAGCGTCGAGAATGTTTGCCCGCGCGTCTGTACACACCACGTCGTTGGGTCGGCCACGGGGCCGCCCACTTTGGCGAAGGGGCCCGGGTGTGTGTGTGGACGCCCCAGCATCCCAGCGTTTGGGAAGCTGGGGCGTCTATGCACCGAGCTCCCTGGCTGGCCAGACGTACGTGGCGTTCGGATGCAAGATCTGGGAGGTTTAACTCAGCATCGGCCCTGGTATATCTGTGGTCGAAGACCAGTCTAATCCAGCATAGGACCGCTCCATCCGGCCAAATGCCGTTCAGTTCTGCTCCATCCGGCTCAATCCCGGGCTTCATCTGGCCTCGTCCGGCTTCCTGGCCCGTGATCCGGGCTCCGTCTGGCCCGCCAGCGTTCTCGAGAGGACCTCCCAGCCGTGGCTTGCCCAGCGCGGTGCGGGCCTCGAAGACCCTCCCGAGAGGTCGGCGTCCCCTCCCAGGCGGAGGTGGCCATGTGCGGCCGCATCGTCTGCGAGGGCCTGGACGGCCGCCTGAACGAGCGCTCGCTGCTGCTCGAAGGCTCCCGCGCGGCGGCGAAGGGGGCCCGGGTGCAGCTCAGCGTGGCCGACTGCGCGAGCCTGGCCGCCTTCCCGGGGCAGATCGTGGGCGTGGTCGGGCGGAGCTCGGAGGAGGAAGGGAGGAGGAGGAGGAGGAGGAGGAGGAGGAGGGGGAGGAGGCGGAGGAGGAGGAGGAGGAGGGGGAGGAGGAGGAGGAGGAGGAGGAGGAGGAGGAGGAGGAGGAGGAGTCGGCTCGGGGGTCGGCGTCGCCACGAACGTGCGGAGGAGGACAGTGTACCGATGCCGCTGCTCGTCCTGGAGAGCCCTCGTCGCCACGGCTGGAGTCTCTTCGAGATGCTTGGCAGGACGCACCCCGAGAGAGGTCCTGGGAGTAGCGGTATCGTTTTCTGTTGCTTCCCCAGACGTTGCACATTTGATGCGCAGGGCCGCCCACGCAACAGCGGCAGCTGTCGGTTTTGGATCACATTTGCTGTGTTGGGCACCGTACCCGTTTTTTCTGTATCCATGTCGGGGGTTTCAGAACGACAGGAGGGGACTGGCCCAGGGGGGCAGGGCCAGGAGTGCGAGCCGCCTGGGGGTCTGAGTTGGCCCAGCACTGGTTTCGGCCACCAGGAGTGGGGGGCGAGGTTCGAGATCCTGGGCCCGATGCTGTTTTGTTGTTGTTGTTGCTGTTGCTGTTGTGGTTGTTGTTGTTGTCGTTGTTGTTGTTGTTGTTGTTGTTGTTGTTGTTGTTGTTGTTGTTGTGGTCGTCGTCGTCGTTGTTGTTGTTGGTGGTGTCGCTGTTGTTGTTGTTGTTGTTGTTGTTGTTGTTGGTGTTGGTGTTGGTGTTGGTGTTGGTGTTGGTGTTGTTGTTGTTGTTGTTGTTGTTGTTGTTGTTGTTGTTGTTGTTGTTGTTGTTGTTGTTGTGGTCGTCGTCGTCGTCGTTGTTGTTGTTGTTGTTGTTGGTGGTGCTGTTGTTGTTGTTGTTGTTGTTGTTGTTGTCGTTGTTGTTGTTGTTGTTGTTGCTGTTGTTGTTGTAGTCGTAGTAGTAGTAGTAGTAGTAGTTGTTGTTGTTGTTGTTGTTGTTGTTGTTGTTGTTGTTGTTGTTGTTGTTGTTGTTGTTTTGTGTTTTGGGCCCGTCCAGCGCAGATCCCTGGCCGCTCGCAATGGAGAGATGCCGTTGCTGCTGCCCCGTCCCTCGTCGCCTCGGCCAGGTTCGCTTGGAAGTCTCGGTCAGAACGCGCCCCGGGAGAGGTTCAGGGGCAACGATAAGGGGGGATAGGCATAGGGGAGGATGCATCGACCCCCAATTGCCCATTGATCGCCGATAGGGGACCGATAGCCCCAGCCTGCCCAGGAAGGTGCGGATTCACTATCGGAAGCCTATCGCCGATATATCGGCGATGTATCGCCTATTCCAGGTCGATGCATCTCCCCTATGCCAGTCCCCCCTATCGTTGCCCCTCAGAGCTCCGGGGAGCAGTGGCATATTGGCATCTTATTGTACATCTTTCCGTTCCCCCAGGAGCGGCGGCATGATGGGCACCACTTTCCACGCCAAGGACCGGAGACGAACAAACGGTGTAGAAGAGAGGGCCAGGCCGTTCAGCTGGGGCTGGAGCAGACGGAGTCGGAGGATCGCTCCGCATCGCCGATGCATCGGCGATGCGGCGCGATCTAGGCTACGAGTTTCCCCGTCGTGGCGTCACCGACGCATCGCCGATGCGTAGCAAATCCTGAGGGCCTTGAGCAACCTCCTAATTTTGTCTCTGGCGTCGACTGGCGTCTGGGAGTCGATGAGATAGCGCCGATCCAGCGCTGATCAGCGTCGACTCAGCGTCGATCAGCGTCGATATTGCGCGGATTCGCGTCCATTCGCGGGAGCCGACAGGATGGTGGGGGGAGGCTCCCAATGGGTTGCCACCGAAGCCACCTGCTCGCACCGTGCGTGGGCGGCCTCTGCCCGCACCGGGGCTTTCTGAGTGACCTCCGCGCCGGGTGCCGGAGCCCGCCTCGTGATTGCGAGGGCTCGGAGGTGCATAGACCTCCTACCCGGACACGTCGATTCAGGAGTTGGCCGCTTTCGGTTCACGAGAGGGCGTCGCGGCCGTCATTCCTGCGGGTCCAGGTCCGTCGGCTTCGGTCCCAGGCCGTTTTCACTGAGGGGAGGTTTACGAAAGGGAGGTTTGTCCACCGCCGAGCGGCACCTCTGGCCGCGCCAGGGGGAGGGCAGCGCCGGCGGCGCCGAGTGCCGCGCGAAGCCACCGTCGGGAAGGCGTTCGGGTTTCGGAAGGGGGGTCGCTGTTCCTCTCGGCGGCGAGCGGGGGGGGGAAGCGAGAAGGATCAGTATCGTGTAAACGATCCCCATGCCCATCTCCATTCCCATCCCGATCTCCACCATCCCGCCACCCCAGTTGGGGACATGCCCCTCGAAACTCGAAGGGAAGGGCCTATATCCCCATCTTGGTGGGTACATCGGCCAGTGGGGCCCAGGCCACGCCCGTCGGGATAGGGATCGGTTAAGCGCTGCTCAAAGGAGAAGGCCTTCTCAGAAGGTGGCGGGTCTTCTCAGAAGCCTTCTGAGAGGTTGTCTGCGTCTTCGGGGAAGGCTCAGAAAACTTATCAGAAGGCCAGAGGACTTCCGAGTCTTCTGAGAAGGCCTTCTCCTTCTCACTTCCCCCCTTTATCTCGCCGCCGATCCTCAGGTCCTCGCATGGTTGTTCCTCCCGAGCTCCTCGTGCACCCAGGCGCTCTTGGGGCCAAGAAGGGGCTTCGTTCCTGATGTGGCGTTCCGTCCGGTACTTTTAGTAGCTTAGACCGTAGCTTTGTGCAGTCCTTGCGGTTCTGGAGGAGCTCATTCCGGGCATTCCGCCCGCGCCGGTGGCGGCGAAGAACGAGCGGCCCGTGCGCATGCTGGTGGCGGCGGGGCCGTTCTGCCTGCGCGACGGCCTGGACTACGCTCCGTTGGAGCAGGTCTGCGACCACTTGTCGGCCACTTGCGAACCCTTCCCCCTGCGGGCCCATTTTACCAGCCTGGAACATATCCCTATCCCTATGTTTGACATCACCTCACCTCGATGCCGATCGTAAGGATTCCCTCAGTTTTTGCGGGCCTATCCCTAAGATTGTCCTCGCTTTTTGCTCGCCCATCTTAGGGATAGGGATACGTTCGAGGCTGGTTACCATTCGACCTCGGGGGACCTCTGCCGCCGCCTGGTCCGGCGTCGATGCGAGAAGTCCGCACGTACCTTTAGCGAAATTCTACCTATGCATTTTTTTGTTGTTCCTCTCCGCAGGCATCCTTCGAACTCTGAATCTCAGCCAGTTTTCAAAGCTCCGGCCTGCAGGGGTGGAGCTGGGGATGTGGTTGCCTATAGCAGGTGCTCGAGCACGCCGCGAGCCAGCGGCCGCAGGTCCTGGTCCTGATGGGGCCATTCTTGGACGCCGGCAACCAGAAGGTCCTGTCCGGGGAGACCTGCCTGCCAGGCCTGGCTCGGAGAGCAAGCACAATACTGCGCGTCTCGCCGGCAGAAATACCCCATGAGCGCGTTACTGCTTAGAGGTACGGCTGAACGTAGTCAAAGGTTGCACCACTTGGGCGCCAATGCACACTAGGAGTTGCCCCCCTCGCCCGCGATCTTAACATGGAGATCAATCGCTGGAACTGAAATTGTACGCTGTCGTTTTCGAGCGCCCGCGGGCTAGATCCAGGGGCGCGGAGAATCAGCTTCCCGATTCCATTCGCAGTCCGGCCGAAGTGAGGCAAACTTCTGTCCTGCAGCAGTGCCAGGTTGCTGTAGAACGTGCGAACGGGTAACCTTCGGTAGCAAGTCATGGGAGCCTGGTATACCCTCTGAATTCCGTGTTTGGCGTCGATTGGCGCCGATTAGCATTTGGGAGTCGATGAGAGACAGCGCCGATCTGGGGTCGACTAGCTTCGATCAGCGTCGATCTGGCGTCCATTGGCGTCGATGTTGCGTCGGTCGGCTTCGATTTCGCAAGGGCCGACAAGATGGTGTGGCAGTCGGGGGTGGACAGAACCCCCAACAGTGACACGTCGATTAGTGAATTGTCCGTTTTCGGTTCTCGAGAGGGTGCCGTGGCCGTTATTTTCCAGGCTTGCGCCCGCCAGGTTTGGGCCTCAGGTCGTTTTCACTAAACCACGTTTTACTAAAGGGGGGTCTGTCCATCCCCGTGGCAGGCGCCCACGAGTTGCCGCCGAAGGTATCCCTCGCGGCCCGAAAGACGACGCGTGCGCCACTGGCACGACCTCCCCCTCCCGGCGGGCGGCGCGCACGAGATACCCCCTCCTCCTCCTCCTCCTCCTCCTCCTCCTCCTCCTCCTTCCCCTCCTCCTCCTCCTCCTTCTCATCGTCCTCGTCCTCCTCCTTCCCCTCCTCCTCCTTCTCCTCCTCCTCCTCCTCCTGCTTTCTCCTCCTCCTCCTCCCCCTTCCTTCTCCTTCTCCTGATTCTCTTCCTCCTCCTCCTTCCCCTCCTCCTCCTCCCCTCCTCCTTTCCCCTCCTCCTCCCCCTCCTCCTCCTCCTCCTCCGCCTCCTCCTCCTTCTCCTCCTCCTCCTCCTCCTCCTCCTCGGCTTCCAAAGCAGCCAACGATACCCCCCGAGGGGGCCTGGCATGGCCTTCGGCTGCTGGCGGCGCGCGGGCGACGACGACGACGACGACGACGACGACGACGACGACGACGACGACGACGACGACGACGACGACGACGACGACGACGACGACGACGACGCCGACGACGACGACGACGACGCCGGCCTGGGCCTCGGGGAGGCCCCGGCGCGCCGCCCTCGCGGGCCCTCGCGGGCCTCGCGGGGCCCCGTGTGGCGCACCAGAGGGGCGCGGCGGGGGGGGGGGATCACCACCCACCAAACCACCCCAACCCAACCCGAAGGCCTCAATTTGCCCTCCATTTCCAGTTGGGGTGGTCTGGTAGGTAGTCAGGGGAGGGCCCTGCTGCAAGGAGGAAAGACTGGTCTACTCTGTAAGAACGATTTTTTGAAGGCAGATCTGCCTTCAAAAAACCGTTCTTACAGAGTAGACAATTGTTTGAAGGCAGATCTGCCTTCAAAAAACCGTTCTTACAGGGCAGCCTCGTCTGCTCCGACGTTGGGCAGGGAGGGCCGAGCATACCCAGACACCCTCGAGTCATGCAAAGATCACCTGGCGGAAGGTGTTTCGCTGTTTTCCCGCTCTGGGGGCCCGTACCGCGCCTCGGGGCCGTCAGAAAACGGCTCAGGATGAGAAATCGGTCCCGGGGAATGGGTCGAAGCCTCGGGGGGTCGACCTTTGGGGGTCGACCTCTGGGGGTCTGCTAAGAGGGCAGTCTCGTCTTCGGAGGAGGAAGCGGCACCCATGCCGCTACTCCTTCGCCCATTTTCCCCTTTTTCGGCCTCCTGGGGGGCCCTGGTCGCCACCGCTGGATTCGCCTCGAAATCCTTGTCGGAACGCACCCCAGGAGAGGTCCGGGGGGTAGCGGTATGGGTACCTTTCAGTCTCCCCTCGTCTGTTTCGGCCTTGGGCAGGGAGAGCTGAGCGTACAGGGCTGACGTGGAAGGCTGGGGAAGGGCACCCGAGCGCGTCGCGCGCGACGACCTGCGCCGGGCTCGTCCCCAGGCTCGGCGGGCGTTTGGCGTGCACTCCCCGTCGGGGGACTTCTCTCCAGACCCCCGACGCCGTGATTTTTTCATGACGTCGACCCCCGAGGTCTCGACCCATTCCCCGGAACCGGTTTTTCATCCTGAGTCGTTTTTGGACGGTCCCCCGAGGCCCGGTAAGGGCCCCCGCAGGCCGAAAATAACGAACACTTGTCCGTCGTAGTTTTTACATGACTCGAGGGGGCCTGGATCAGAAGCCCTCCCACCACCCAAGAAGTCTTTCAGGGGAGCCTGCGACCCCGTCCAAGACGCGCCCTGGCCTCTCTGAGAGGGTCGCCCCCCTCCCCCCCCCTCGCCCCGCTTTTGGCCGGTTTCTGCTCAAGACTGGCCCCCGGACTCCTCCTGGAGTGTCCCCTTGGGGTGGCCATCTCCTCTTTTCAGAGGCAGCGAAGAGAACGGAGGAGGAACAGGTGCCCATACCGCTAATTACCCTCTCCTCGTTTTCCCCTTTTCGGGCCTCCTGGGAAGCCCTCAACGCCACCATTGCATTCGCCTCGAGATTCTGGTCAGAACGTACCCCAGGAGAGGTCTGGGGAGCAGCGGCATCGGTACTTTATGGTTTCCACAAGTGTGGTTGCCGTGTCTCTTTTTAGAGGCATCGACGAAGAGAGACCTGAGGCAATTCTAATGATTTCCAGAAAAGGGGGTGCATCTTGTGAGCTCCAGCGCAAGTCCAGGGACAGCAGAAGCTGTGAACCCCTTGACGAAGAGATCATGACCCCTTCCCTCTTGAGCCGTTTCTCTTTACGGACTCGTTTTTGATCGTCCTGCCTCGGGGGGCCAGAGGACCACTGCCAGCGGCAACGCCTCTGGCTTTCCCCCACGACCAGCTCTGCACCACGAGCCTCTTTTGCTGAAGGTCCCTGCAGGCCCGACGTCGGAGCCCAAGAGGTCCGGAGACGGCGGCAGAGTTCCAGGGCCCCTTCCTTCCAAGACCCGCGTGAACCTTCTCGCCGCCTGCCCCCTCCTCCCTCCCTGGCAACGTCGGGGGGGGGGGGCGGGGACGGGGGACAGACTCCGAGGGGGACGCCCCCCCCCAGGCGCCCGAGAATCGCCGGTAAGGGGCCCGATGTGATATCGGGCCCCTTGTCGGCGATATCCCGCTCCGCCCAGGAGTGTGCGGTTTCGCAATCGAGGGCCCGTCGCCGATCCGTCGGCGAGGGATCGCCGACTCCAGCTCGATGCTTCCCCCCCTGAGCCCGTCCCTCCAATCGCCCCCTTCAAAACACACGTATGAAGAATGAGTAGTTGCATGGCCGCAGGCTTTCGGAGGTCCGCGCGGATTTCTGGAATCGGCGTTGCCCCTCCCCCCCCCCCTTGCGGCGCCTCCGGCGCCGCCGAATGATTATGTTGGTGCAGATGTTCTTCTTTGAGAAAATCGAGGTCTCCTCGAGCCCCCTCGAACATGTTTGGCTATGCAGTTTGCAGCGCTTCTGCCCTCTCTTCCCCCCCCCCGAGCAGCCACGTCGAGGCAGCGACGAGCCCTGCCCCTACGAGGAGTTCTACGAGCGGCGCCTGCTGCCCCTGCTCCGCCGCGGGCTGGCGCCGCTGCGGCAGGGGCCCTCGCCCGTGGAGGTCCCCTTTTCGGCGGGGCCGCCGGTTGCCGTCGGCATCGTCTGACCGATCTCCATCCCCGTAGTCCAGGCCTCCTACGGTAGGTTTGCGTCGTGTCGACCAGCGGCGGCCCCAGCGCGGGCGTTCAAGGTTGAACGCCGCCGGCGACCCAGAATCGATCGATGTTGGACGATCGGACGTTGCGGCAGCGGCCGATCGTTCAAGGTTGAACGATCCCTGCGGTGTCAAAAACCAACGCTGGGGTCGGCACGACACGAACCTGCCGTAGATGGGGTCGGAGCAGATGGGGTCGGAGGATCGCGCCGCATCGCCGATGCATCGCCGATGCGGCTCGATGTGGAGCCCGAGTTGCTTCACGTCGACGTCGCCGATGCCTCGCCGACGCCGACCATGCATCGCCGGTGCACCGCCGATGCATCGCCAGCGCATCGCCGATGCATCGGCGATGCATCGGCGATGCGGCGCGATCCTCCGACCCCATCTACTCCGACCCCATCTAAGAGGCCTCTACATAGGGCCATGGTATCGCTGGGGATCTGCCCAGATGTGGGGCATGCCCATCTCGCGGGGTACATCCGAGATCCCCCCCAGGTCCTAGATCCATCCAGGGGGGATCTGTCCATCCTGGGGGGGCCTCCTTTTCCGTGGGGGATCTGCCCCATCCCCATCGAATTATCCACCCCCGCTGGAGGGGGACATGCCCATCTAGGGGATAAACTGGCCAGTGGGTCCAAAGCCACGCCAGTGGGGATAGGGATCGGTTAAACGATGCTCATGCCGCCTCTCCGAGGGGCAACCAGGGAGAAAGTGAAGATGATCGAACTGATCGAGGCTCGCGGACGTCTTTCGCCTTGCTGGAGGCTCGAGGCTCTCGTTGGGCCGCCTGGCCGCCTCAGAGGGGCAATCAGCCCTGGGGGGGGGAGGGAAGGTGATCGAGCTACGAGGATCGAGGCTCCAGGTCTACCAGATGGGGTCCGAGCAGATGGGGTCAGAGGATCGCGCCGCATCGCCGAAGCCGTCGGTCGAGGCCTCCCGTCTCCAACTGGGCCTCGGGATTAGAAGGGCGTCTAGGAGAAGAGGGGGGTGTCAAGGGGAGGAGAGGAGGCCAAAGAGGTGGGGAGGCAGAGCGTAGGTGCCCTTTCAAGAATCACACACGCAGAGTCCATTTCGATCCGATGGGTCCGGTTCGGTATTGGTCTGGGCTGGCCCGGTCCGATGCGGTTCCGATCCTCCGACGATCCGACGCGGCCAGAAGCTCGCGTAGCGCTTCCGATCCGACCCGATTTCGACTCCGTGCCGGTGCGGCCCAATCCGACGCACATTTCCGATGCTCGTTTTGGGGACCTTCCTGGGGCCCACCTAGTGGATCTGTTCGACTCAGGTTCGACTCAAGTTCGACTCAGGTTTGACTCAGATCCGACTCAGATTCGACTCAGGATCGACGCAGGTTCGACTCAGGTTCGACTCAGGTGCGACGCAGCTTCGACGCACGAGTGGAGCGAGTGACTCCAGGAAGGTCCCCAGAAGGAGCATCTAACACATTCCGATTTGGTCCGATTCCCCGATGCGACGTTGACCGATTCAGCCTGAAAGAAGAATCCATGTCAAGAAGGTGGCCGCAGTAGTGTGGGCGGAGGTCCGCTCGAGCGTGGGCCGAGGTTCAGACTTGACATTATATCAGTGGCCCGTTGGGATATATGGGACCGTCGCCCAACGAACTTGCCCCTCCTCCTCCTCGTCCTCCTCCTCCTCCTCCTGCTCCAGTGTCCAGCGTATATCGGTGAAGCTCCGGTGCGTGCTTGCGGCGGAACGCACACAGAGCGTGGGTGGAGGTCCTCATCGTGCCCTCGCTCGACGAGGTCCTGTGCTTCCACCCCATGCCGCAGCCGCCGCTCGACACGGCGCTCGAGCCGCTGGGCTTGGGCGACGCGCTGCAGCCGCTGCGGAGGCTGGGGGTGAAGTTCCTGCCCAACCCCGCGCACGTGCAGGCGGGCGGGTCCGATGTTCGATCCGATCCCAGACCCCCTCGCGTTGTGACAAAAATCACGACGGGAGGTTTGTCGCTACTTCCCGCCTCCGGGGGCCTTCCCTGGGCCCCGGGTCCGTCAAAAAACGATTCAGGATGAAAAACCGGTCCCCGGGACGGGGTCCAGACCTCTGGGGGTCGACGTTGCGAAAAAATCACGACGTCGGGGGTCTGGGATTGACCTGATCCGATCGCAATGGCAGCTGGCCTGATCAGAATCCGACTCCGTGCCGATGTCAGAAGCCAGCGCGGGGGTCGTCGGGACCCGACCGTCACGACGCATAGATGATGTCAGGCTCCTACCCACCTATTTCCGAGCGTCGCAATCGTTGGCGCAGCTCCTGCGCCGCGTTTCCTAGGGTCGTGCGCAGTTCCTGGGCGGCTGCGATGCAACGCTTCCTCGGCCTGTTCGCAGTTCCTGAGCAGCCCCTGGGGAGCGCTTCTTGGGCTCGTGGGCACCTTTTGGCAGCCCCTTCTCGGCTCGTGCGCAGCGCCCAGGCAGCTTCCAGACAGCGCTTCCTACACTCCCCTGGGAACGCAATGCAACTGTTATTTCAATTTCCTGCCCCCCACCCCCTCCCCCTCGGACCCCCGATGTCGATGTTGAGTCGGTTGCGGCCGACGGTGGAATCGTCGGATGGTGCGGCGCTCTGCACGAACATTGAGTCGAGGGGCGCGGGGGGCGGACCGCGCGCGGAGGCTGCACTGCTCTTCCGGGGCAGTGCAGGCCCGTACGCAGCGCCTGCGCTCGGGGAGCCCAAAAAGGGCACTCGGTGGCCCGCGCGGGCTTCGCGGAGATCGGCTCCGGCGCCGGTCCGACAGATCCGTGCGGACCTCCGAGAGCTCATGCTTACACCTTGGCGATGCTTAAGAAAACTTAAGTTTTCTGCCAGAGTCTCGATTCTTCTTAACGTTTCAATGTAAATCTTGAGATTTTCATGGAAACGTTGGGTGTTTATTCAAGTTCTGAGACTATGAATTTCTTAACCCATGATTTCTTAAGCATTTCGCAGGGTGTATGCCGCCGCATGTGCCTGTATGAGCTTGTAGGTCCTTCGGCGTGGGGCCCGCCCCCGCGCGCAGGTGAACGGGCTCCGCGTGAGCCTGACGTCCGCGGACGCGCTCACGCCCGTCCTGCGGGAGATCGTGCTGAGGCCGCGGTTGGGCCGCCAACTGAAGCAGATCCCCATCCCTGAGAGTGGTATCACCTTGGCTCGGTGTCGATCTTGAGGATTGTTGCTCTCAGGGATACACGCCGGTCGTCGAAAGTAGGCATTTTTGGATTCCCAGATCCCAATCTACTTCAAGCGCCTTCCTACTTCAAGAATCGACATGCTTTTGCTGCGCTTTGTTATTCTCTGGGAGGACCTGGACCCAATCAGCTTTATCCGCCTTCCTACTTCATGCTCCTACCTACTTCTTCCGACCGGCGTGTAGGGATAACGGTGGAGGCCGGTCACAGCCCTGCCGAGGGCCAGGGCTGGGGGGGCCAGCGTGAACCGCGCAGACCCTTCGGGCCCTGAGATCCTGGCGCCCCGCTCTGTTCCACACCCCTGGCGGCGCGCACCGAGGGATAGAGGCGCCAGGGGTGCGGGAGGGGGGGGGGAGGAGAAGCGACACCAACACCACCAGGGGGCCACCTCTGGCGGCGAGGTCCACGATGCCTCCCCGAGCTGGGGACAGGGGATGCCTCGAGCGAGAGGGGGGGGACCACACCACCAGAGGGACCCCTCCCTGGCTCCTCCCGCTGGTGGTCCCTGGTGGTGTTGGTGTCGCTTCTCCATGTTCCCACCCCTGGCGCCGCAACCTCGCGCGTGCCGCCAATCTTCGCCTGGGGTCGGGCCCCAGGGACCTCACGGGCCGACCGGGCCCGAGACAGATGCACCGCAGGGCGATGGGGGTCTCAGGCTTCCGCGGTCGTGCTTTCGTCGCGATGTCGCACTGCCACTTCGCGCCGTCGGATCTCGGGGGAGGCCCTGTTGGCACCCGGAGGTGCGAGCGAAGTTTTCGTTTCGTCGCGACGCCGGATCTCAGGGGAGGCGCCGAGAAGTCGGACGCGCGAGGGGGGGGAGCCGAGTCGGGCACGTCCCTCTGCAGGAGAAGCGGTTCAGGACATGTGATTGCTTTCGTCGACCCTCTGGTGCTTTTTCGCCCACAGTCGGACGTGCCCGACCCGAGCGATAGGAGAGCCGGCAGGCCTGCGCGCATGCCCCGTTGGCATCCCCGGGAAGCCCTTTCAAGGGGATAAAAAACGCCCCTACACCTAAGGCGATGCTTAAGAAAACCTAAGTTTTCGGCCAGAGTCTCGATTATTCTTAACGTTTCAATGTAAATCCTAAGTTTTTAATGGAAACGTTGGGTTTTTATTCAAGATCTGAGGCTATGAATTTCTTAACCCATGATTTCTTAAGCATTTCGCAGGGTGTACCCTGGTTTGCGAGGCGCCGTGCGCTGAAGCTCCTGTGGGCTGGCAGGGTGAACCCTGCGTGATGTGCCGCGTCCTGGCGGCTCTGTGGGCTTTGGGGGTTCCCAGGAGGTTCACAGACCACGCACTTGTAACCCAGGGTAGGGTGGTTTTTTCATCCCTCGACCCTCGGCTGTCGTGGGCGCGGGGCGCGCATCCCGCAGCCGCGGCCTCGCGGCCCCCCCTCGCGGCCCCTCGGCCCTCCGCCCCGTGGAGGCAGGGGAGAGGCCCTGCGCGGGTGCCCCGCGAGGCGCGCAGCCAGCAGCCAGATGCTCTTTGGTCGGGAGACTCTTCATGGGGGGGGGATCCCATGGGGGGATAGGATCCCAGGGGGGGGGATCCCATGGGATCCCCCCTCCATGGAGAGTCTCCCGATTTTTGTCGGGGTACAGGCGGGGCGCTGAAGAAGGAACCCTTTTCGGTGGGGAGGGGCTCGGTGCTCCTTGGTTGTTATGCAGGTTGCCCAGGGTTTTCCCTTCGACTCCCATGGGAAAGCAAAACTTCACTTGTGGGAGCGAGGGGGCCTCGTTCCTTCTTTGGGGTTCCTTAGGTCAACGCCCCGACTGCACCCAGGGTTTCTTCGCTCCGGGCGCTGCGCGGTGACTTCCCGCGGCCGTTGAAGAGGCTGCTGCGTTCGGGGCGCCCTGGGCCTCTCCCCGGCCGCACCTCTCGCGCGGGCCTTCGGGGTCGGCTTTCTCTTGCGAGGGTTGCCTGCGGCCGCGTCCACACGGCATCGCGCAGCCCCAGGGGGCCGAGCCCAGGGCTCCAGACCCCGACCCCGTTCTCGCGTTGGGAAGGCTTCGCGGCGGGAGGTTTTTCGCTGTTTTCGGCCTGCGGGGGCCCTCACCGGGCCCCCGCAGGCCGTCAAAGAACGACTCGGGATTAAGACCCCGTTCCGGGGGGGGAGGGGTCCAGACCTCTGGGGGTCGACGATGCGAAGAGAGCACAACGCCGGGGATCTGGGGACCACGGGGACACGGATATGGACGTGTCCGTCGCCCGCGGGTCTGGGCGAGGGGCCGTCTCAGCTTTCTGGTCGTGACTCGGGTCTCCGGCGGTCGTTCGGGGCGATCCATGCACCTTGGGAACGCTCCCGGCGAGCCGCAACTGCTGGAGCGCAACCCGAGGATAGAAAAACCGCCAAGCACAGACGAGAACG